TTTTTTTTATATAATTATTTTCATGCAAAAATATGAATTTTCAAAGAAAATTCCTAACTTGACCAAGGTAAATCCTAATCCCTTGAAAATTTTACTGGAGGTAGGCTTAGACCAGAGAAGCCTTTGAACCAAATTTCATGATTTTTTAAATTTCATCTGAATTTTAAGAATTATTTTAAATTATGGGGTATTTATTTAATATAAAATATTTCAAATGGGGAAAATTAAGTTTTGTATTTTTGAAAAGTTCTTCTGAGGTCAGAGAACTCAAAGGAGGAGATTTTATATTTTTCTAAATTTTATTTGATTTATTGGAATTATTTTTAGTGAAAACTCATTTTTAGCCTTTAAAAAATTTTTTTAAGGTTTGAAATTCAGTTTCTTTATTTAGAAAATCAGAAAAAATATTCTAATTATTCTTAAGTGCTTATGAAGCAATTTAGAACATTTCCATGAGTTTTATTATTTTTGTGATTTTTAGGGATTTTTAATTATTTAAATATTTAAAATAGACTAAAAATTAAGTTTTCATTTAACCAATTTTAATAAATTTTTGAGTTATATTTTGATTTTTAAAAAATTATTTAAGTGCCAAAAAAGATATTTTACTTGAAAAATTAATTTATGCCATCAAATGGACTCAAAATGCTTTGAAATTTTTATGGGGAATTCTCTATAACTTAAAAAACAATGGAGATCAAAAATCAGGTCATTTTGTTGTTTGTATTTCCCAAAATTAATTATCTTAGTGATTTAGGGTTTGTAAAGATTAGGTGCATTTTAAATTACTTGACTCATGAAAAATTTTCTTAAGGGTTCTCTAGTCATAGTAAACTTTCTAAAATTTTCTTAGATTTTTCTAAGCAACATGCTAATTTTCATGATTATTTTAACCAAATAATGCACATAAACTTGAAAAATGTGATTCTCTGTCTAAGGACCTCCGCTGACTTTGGAAAAAATCAGGGTATGTTCCCTAAGACAGAAGCAACAACATGTTAAAATTCCAAGCTATAGTGAAATGCCTATATGTATTGAGAATTAAAAGATTCAAATCAGTGTTTAATTAATTGAAAATAAAATATGCATCACATGGATTTAAAATTAGTTTCACATTATTCTCCTCTGTTCACTGAGCAAGAGAGTATTTTTAGGTTATTTTTGTGATTTTTCTACACAAAGTTATGTATTTTTGAAGTTTTGGGGATTAAATAAATAAGAAAAAGCCCCTATTTTTCTACTTAGGGAAAGTGATGCAAAAAAAAATGTTCTATGATCTAGGATTTCTGAAGTATATCTAAGATGCAATGCTGATTTATGTAGTCAACCAATGCAAAAAAAAAAAAAAAAAATTCACCAAAAAAAATATAATACTCTTAAAGCAACTATTTACCATATTCAACAATAAGAACGCTAAAATCAATTTAATTGATCTTCTGCTAGAAATTAAGTAAAAGAAAGTTTAGGATTGCAAGGTGCTTGATATAATATGGAGCCAAAATCAGCTAGCAAATGGCGACAAAATGGCAATTGATTGGTGGAAAAACTCAAACGAGGGCTACTCTTACGAAAATGAAAGGAAAATAAGTAAGATATAATGATGATTTACTATACGAGTGGTAGATCGACACTCCCACAACCCTAGACGCCACTAGGAATACCACAAGAAAAAAAGGAAGCTACAGCCACCAAAAACATGCATAAAAAACAAACCCTAGCTTAATAGCCTAAATATAATCCTATCAATGCACTTCAAATTTTCACCCCTAACTTTTCCCCCCACACTACTCTCATTTCTCTTCCTTACATATGTGATTAAAGCCTTCATGGAACATACTAGTTTGTTGCGCTCTGTTGTGTTTGTCTTGCTCCCTGCAGAACCGAACCT